AGAGGAGGAAAAAGAGGAAGAGGAAGAGGAGGAGGAGCTGGAAGAGGAGGAAGAGGAGGAGGAAGAGGAAGATGAGGAGGAAGAGGAAAAGGAGGAGAAGGAGGAGGTAGAAGAGGAAGAGGAGGAAGAGGAGGAGGAGGTAGAGGAGGAAGAGGAAGAGGAGGAGGAGGAAGGTGAGGAAGAGGAGGAGGAGTAAGAAGGGGAGAAGGAGGAAAAGGAGGAAGAGGAAGAGGAGGAAGGCGAGGCGAGAAAAGAGCAAACGAGAACGAGAAAAAGAAAGAAGAAAAAGGAGAAAAGAAAGAAAGAGAAGAGAGGAAGAAGGGAGATAAATTACAGTCACCCTCAGAAAAAAAAGATTAGCCTTCTCGAGACACATTCCTTGTGCCTTACCGAGCGTCCTTCCCCCCCTTCCCCCCCCTCCCCCCAACCACCACGACACCCCCACCTGCCCCCCCCCCCTCCACCTTTTACCTGCCCGTCCGTCCAGGTAAGTTCGTTATGGCAACCGCACCAAACATGTTATTTCTATCGTTAAGGGTCTGAGTCTCTCGCTAAAGGTCTGAATCTATCGCTTAAGGCTCTGAGTCTCTCGGTAGAGGTCTGAGACTCTCGCTAAGGGTCTGAGTCTATCCGAGTCTCTCGCTCTATCGCTAAGGATCTGAGTCTCTCTGAGTCTCTCACTAAAGGTCTGAGTCTCTCGCTAAGGGTCTGAGTCTCACTGAGTCTCTCGCTAAAGGTCTGAGACTCTCGCTAAGGATCTGAGTCTCTCTGAGTCTCTCACTAAAGGTCTGACTCTATCGCTAAGGATCTGAGTCTCTCTGAGTCTCTCACTAAAGGTCTGAATCTATCGCTAAAGGTCTCACTAAGAGTCTCTCGCTGGGTCTGAATCTATCATGTGTCCTAAAACGGGGGAATATTGAAAGAAAAAAAAATCAGTCGATTATATCTTTCACAGAGGATTAATCCCAGGCGGTTTTGAGCACTGGGTTATTTTTGGGTGGCAGGTTAGGTGAGTGGTTGGGCAAAACAGAAGCGAGAATGACAGTATATATATGTCAGTCCGTCAGTATGTAAGTCTGTAAGTCTTTCCGTTTCCTATTCCTTCTCTCTCTTTCTTTTTCTCCTTCTCCTTCTCCTTCTCCTTCTCCCTCTCTTTCTCTTTCTCTTTCTCTTTCTCCCTCCCTCTCTCTCTCTCTCTCTCTCTCTCTCTCTCTCTCTCTCTCTCTCTCTCTCTCTCTCTCTCTCTCTCTCTCTCCCTCTCTCTCTCTCTCTCTCTCTCTCTATCTCTCTCTCATCAAACACGTCGCCAACACGTCACGAGGCGTCACACGCAGTCAAAACAAAACGGCAAGAATCTCGTGGGTGAGCGAATGCAGGCTTAAAGGGGGCGTGGTCAGCACATGTCGTGACTGATGGCGGGTGCGTGAGAGGGGGGTGGGGGTGTGGAGGGAATGGTGGGGGGAGGCGAGGGTTGCGTCTGTCTCTTGTTTCTCTCTTTTTCTCTTTTTCTCTTTTTCTCTTTCTCTCTTTTTTTCTCTCTCTTTCTCTTTTTTTTTTCTCTCTCTCTCTCTCTCTCTCTCTCTCTTTGAGATTAGGAAGGAATTATCTGACTGAATATGTAATAATAACAAAGATGAAGCCGACGATGGCGATGATAACAATAACAACAACAACAACTAACAACAAGACCCACAAACAGCAACAGCAGAAACACCAAACCACCAGTCTATCTAAGTTATCAAAAGTTAACATTGTCTCAGTCCTTCCTTAACAAGTGAAAATTCTTGACAATTCTTAGAGGCCCATGGAGAAGAAGGGAGGAGAAGAAGAGAAACGAAGAGAGAAATGGAGGAAGGAAAGGAGAGGAGGGAGGGAGGGAGGGAGGGAGGGAGGGAGGGAGGGAGGGAGGGAGGGAGGGAGGAGAGGGAGGGAGGAGAGGGAGGGAGGGAGAGAGAGAGAGAGAGAGAGGAGAGAGAGAGAGAGAGAGAGAGAGAGAGAGAGAGAGAGAGAGAGAGAGAGAGAGAGAGAGAGAGAGAGAGACAGAGAGAGACAGAGACAGAAAGAGAGACAGAAAGAGAGACAGAGAGAGAGACAGAGAGAGACAGAGAGAGAGAGAGAGAGAGAGGAGAGGAGAGGAGGAGAGAGAGAGAGAGAGAGAGAGAGAGAGAGAGAGAGAGAGAGAGAGAGAGAAAAGGAAAGAAAAAGAAAGAGAAAGAGAAAGAGAAAAAGGGAAAGAAAGATAAAGAGAGAGAGAAAAAAAAAGTATGAAAGAAAGAAAGAAAGAAAGAAAAAAAGAAAAAGAAAAAAAAAACGAAAGAGAAAGACATAAAAGGCGAAAACTAAAAACGCAGGATAATGCATCCCAGTCCGTAATCTTCCCTTTCTAAACTCCCTAATCCTCTACGATGCTGCTCGTCTCCCTTGCGCCCGCGATTGGGAGAACTACTGGCGAATCACCGGCGCGGAAGGAAAGCCGGAGATCAAAACAAGCAGCAACGGA